AATGTTTTAAAAAATTTAAAAATATAAAAAAGAGTAAGAAATGGCAAGTGGCGGCGGAAGACGGTGGTGGAAAGTGGTGACGGTGGGTGGTGGGTAGGTGGTGGGTGGGTGAGTGTAGGGGTGTGCATAATACTGCCGAAACCGCCGAAACCGCCAAAACCGCACCGCCAAGGCAAATTCGTTATTATTTGCCAATCGAATCGCGGGTTTTGGTAAGAAAAATGGCAAATTCTTGTGACACTTTTATCAATCCGCCGGTTTCTATTTTTCTTCCAAACCGCACCGACCCACACCGCTATTAAATCATGTTTTATAAGATTCTAAATTTTTTTTTTTACTTAAGTTTGCTTGTTGTTCTATACCTTAGAATATAGTATTACATTACTGCTCGAGAGAAATTTTATGTATTGTATTTGATCATTGTAGCTTCCACAGATGCTTGTAATGAACTGATGGCATAGTCGTTGATATTATCATGTTGTTGCTACACTTGCTGCATCAGAAGAAAGCTTCACAAGATGCTTAACATTACGATATCTCTCGTCTTTTTTTTACTCTTTGATTTAAGTTTTGTAATTTGAATTATATTTTTTATAATACTAGTCCATACCTCAACTTCCACTCAAGTGGTGGCAGGTGAGTGGTGAGTGGTGAGTAGTGGTGGCAAGTAGGTGGCGGGTGGTGGTGACGGGTGGTGGATGGTAGTAGCGGGTGGTAGGTGGTGGCGGGTGGATGGCAGGTGGGTGGTGGTGGTGGTAGCAAGTGGGTGGCTGGTGGGTGGTGGCTGGTGGGTGGTGGTGGCAGGTGGGTGGTGAGTGGTGGTGGCAGGTGGTGGTGAGGGATGGGTGGTGGGTGGTGGTGGCGAAAGACGGTGATGGAAAATGGTGGCGGGTGGTGGCTAGTGTTGGGTGGTAAAAAAAAAAAAAAAACAGAAAACTCAAAATGAAAACACATTTTTTGTGTTTTCATTTTTTGGCTAAATTTATAAACTGAGACCATTGATTTATAAATCAAAAATTTTATCAAATAAGTTTTTATTTGAGTTTTTAAAATTTTTGTAAATATAAACAGAAAACTAAAAACGTAAGTATTACCAAACGGTACTATTTCCAAACAGCACATTAATTATTTACGATTTTTTATAAACTAAAAAAATTGTTTCCGAACATATTAATATTTCTCATCTCATAAAAAAAAATAAAAAAAATTAAAATGTCTTTGAAAAAGCCAAACTCTAAACGAAACCTAAATTTTTGTTTGGCAACTTGATTATTTTGTAACTTTTTGATTTTTTTGTAAAGCGAAAAAAATCTGTGTTTGAAATGATTTTTTAGTAAAATAGATTGTCGTAAAGAAAAAAGTGATTGATTTAAGATTTGTTCATATAAGGTATTATAATGAAACTCAATGAATTAAAATCATAATAATGAAAATCAAATACAATACAACTTTTTTACAACGAAACTTTTAAAGTCGGAGAAAAGTTTCAATTAATACACGAGAAATAAGACTCACACATTGGTTTGATTCAAAAAAATATTGTAATAAAATCTAATGAATTATAGTCATAATAATAAAGATGAAATGCAATACATATAAGAGCAACTCCAACCATACTCTTCATTTTTACCAGCTAAAATATCAAAAAAAAGTATTTTTTTTTATTTTTTATTTTTACCTAATTCCTTTTTATCTATATACTCTAACACTTATATTTATTTTATCTATTAACACACACAAACTGTTCAAAAAGTCTCTCAAGGCTCTTCAAGTATAGTTAGTTTATTGGAGTGATTAAAATATGATAATACTAGGGCTGAGCAAGGAATCCGTGAAATCCGTAATCCGATCCAGTCCAGTCCAATCCGATAGGTTTGGATTGGTTTTTTGAATCCGTGGTTCGGTTCCGGATTGAATAATTAAAAATCCATAGTTCACGGATTGGTTCCGGATTGAATCCCACGGTTCCGGATTGGAACCGATCCGGACCGTATACAAATAGTCTATATTTTTATTATAAATCCTCCCCCATAGTATCATTTCTTATTCTATGTAAAATCTAAACTCAAACCTAAAATCGTATAATATCTTCTTTTATTACTTTTGTTTGTTAGTTTTAAGTTTTAATTTGCAATGGTCTAAATACTTATGGTGAAACCAGTTTTCTTATGGTTGTTTAAATTCTAGAACAGTATGTCGTTATTATAGAAAAACATGTTGCTATTATGGAACTAATATAGCGCTATGTTTATATTTTTATGAAATTCAAGTGTTATATATATATTTTTGTTATTTAATTATGTGAATCCGTGGTCCTAAACCGATCCAATCCGTATTTAAATGGATTGGTTCGGATTTGTTCCATGATTTAAACGGATTGGATTGGTTCCAATTTTTTAGAAACCGTAAATAACGGATTGGTCCTGATTTTATCCCAATCCGGTCCAATCCGGACCATGCTCATTCCTAGATAATACTAGTTATAACAGCTAACGAGCCATATTTAAAGAGTCCATTAGAGAATTAGAGATACTCTAATTAGGGGTGAGTAGCAGATGTACTGATCTGCCAAAACCGATCGAACCGAACCGAACCGATCTGTCGCATTTTGGATGGATGCGTGATGACGAGCGAACGGTTGCAGATTGATTTTCTCCAATCCGCCAATCTGGCGGACGGATAGCGGTTTTGAGATTCTTTTGGCCGCAACCGAACCGCCAAACCGCGAATACCCCTAGTAATTTATAAGACTTTGTGTTTTCAATTTGTTTAAATATTCTGTTATAGACCACATATTTGATCCATAAATTTATCCAAAATGATTTGACAAGAGAGTTGGGCTTTCAATGATGGGATGTGTAATAAATCAAAAATTAACACATATCCTGATATATCATTGTAGGTAGAATAGTGAGAGTTTTTTTGGGTCTCAAACATTTTATAATAAAAAATTTAGTTAAAATATTAATCTTGTTTGGTTTGAATTTTTTTTCTAAAAATTGAATTTTTTGTTTTTCATACTTTGTTGTTTTCACTAAATATTTTTAATATTTTAAGAATTTTTTTTTTAATTTTTAGATACACCTAATATAAATACATTTACAAAGTATAACATTTGTGAAAAAAATTCGCTAAATACAAAAATATACAATATATATATATATATATATATAAATTAAGGACATTTTCATATTTTTGTGTATTTGTTGGTTTTTAATTATTTTTTTTAACAAATATTTTACGTGTATTTATATTAGGTTTATATTAAAACCAAAATATTTACTTAAAACATTTTAAAAAATTTACTAAAAACAAAAAATAAAAAGACTTAATGCTTAGAAAATTTAAGTTTAAAAATTAGAACCAAACAACAAAACCATAATATCATTTGGATAATTCAAATTGCTCATCTCGATAATTCAAAACGTTCAATATCTAAGACTCATCGATTATATAATCCATGCAAAAAATCACATTAATCAGATATTGATAATCAATTAAATAGATCAAATTTATATGAACGGTATATATTATTTTAAAAATAAATCATTATCAATAGTTTAATATGATTAAGTAATTATCCATTAATCAACATAATTTTTTATGGGTTTGACTTCTTTCAAATTAGTCATCTTAACTTGAGAGCTTTTGGACTTAGTAAGTCCATTTTGGGATTGATTTCAATAATTCAAACCATTCACATTTTAAGATCCGTTGAGAAAAATAGTTATATAAAAAATTAAGATGATTAGATATCGATAGCTATATGTTTGAATCAAATTTATATTATAAAAAATGAATAATTATTCTTAAAATTATATTTGTCATTTATTTTTTTTAAAACAAATATAATTCAAACATATAACTACTAATATTTAATCATTTACATGAATATTTTACTCAGCCTCCGTTTGGGAAGTGGGTTGGCTTTTTGGCTTTTTGGCTTTTTGGCTATTTTAGCCTGGGCTATTTTAGCCTGGTTTGGGAAGGGCTTTTTGGCTTTTTGGCTTTTTTGGTTTTTTTTGTGAGAGAGGATTGTAATGATTATGGGTTGGATTTGATGTTTTGTTTTTTGTGGCTAAAATAGCCTATTTTGTTTTTTGTGACTATTTTAACCCAAAAAGCCTGGCTTTTTGCTTGCCAAACGGAGGCTCAATAGATCTTATAAAGTTAACGTTCAAATCAATAAATTAATTCTTAAATCAATTTATCAAATTCAAACATTTCCTCAAATTAAAATCACAAAATAAGAGAAGTCAAATCTATTTTTTATAATAATAATATATTCAATAAATATTACACATTAAACAACTTAAATCATCTAGACGAGCCCAAAAAAGATGCACTGAGGGTCAACAAGACCTTCCGGAGAGAAACTTTTCTCCCTATAATTTTCCTCATAGAGAGATTACATTCGAGGGCGGCTGACCTAATTGATGATTCCGAGAATCAGAACACCATGGCTTTCCGTAAACGAATCAACACCCGACACGTACTGAAACGACAGTTGCCAAACGTTTTCACCTATCCCATGAGCCGGCCGCCGTGGGACCCATGTCCGGAAGTTACTAGCACCGGTCATTATTTTCTAGAAATAGAAACTTTACACTACTAATATACTTTAGTGCCCTCATTTTTCTCATTAAAATTTAATAATTAGAAAAGTAAAAATTAACTACCTTTCTCTCTTCACTTCTACATAATTATTATTATTATTTTTTTTTGGACAAACATTAACAAGTTTCCAATGAATATTGTTTAATGAAAAAAAAATATAAAATATATTTTGAAAATAATGAACGGATTAATTTACTTAAAATTAAGTGAATAGTATTATAAAGTTTATAAAAAATATCTTAAATTTTTGAATCATTTTTTTCTTTTTCTTGTGCCTCTAGTACACTTGTTAGCATCATCTTTAAATTTTTTTTCAATTTATTTAATTTATTTCTACATTTAAATTTTTTTTTTTGAAAAAATATAAAATACTTTCACACATTCTCATAAATAAATAAATATTATAAACAACTCAATAATGAGGTATTTTGAGAAGATAATTAAAAGTTGACTTTTGACTTTTAATTAAACTTTTTAATTTTTTTGAAAGTGACTTAAAAAGTTGGTAAAAAGTTTTTTTGTTTTTTGTTTTTTAAATTAATATTTATTTACGATGACACATCACAATAAAATAATCAAAATACTCCATCCAACTTAGGAAATTTACATTTTGCCCTAACCCTCAAGATGTAAACATGAAAGATAGTTACGTAATTTCACACTGTGCGTTTTGAACACTTCCCAAATAATTTTTGTTTCTTTTGTAGCTACTGTAACGTTTTTATAAAGTTGCAAAACGTGACTTTTTACTACGATTTCCAAATAACCACAAAATATTATACTTAATACTAATCATCACATCAACCGTTATTGCATTATCAACTACCTAAGATACACGAGTCCTTCCTTAAGCGGATTCCTATTTTGGTCCTTATCCTTTAAGGTATAAGAAGCAATTTTCAACTATTATTCTCGTTCCAATAGTAGATCTTTACGTGTTACTCAACTATTCACCCCAGAAAACTCCACTTCCTGTCCAACTTTCATTCATTAAGCATGCTTCCAATAGTAGGTTATTATGCATTACTCAGCAATTCACTACAAAAAAACTCCATTTTCTGTCCAACTTGTTTTATTAAGCATGCTCCCAATAGTAAATTCGTACATGTTACTCACCTATTCACCATGAAAACTCCACTTTCCGTCCAACTTGCATTTCTTAAACATGTCGACAACATTCATTCCCAATTAAAGCAAAAAACTCTCCCCAATCAAAATAGTAGAGGTCATCATAACTTCACCCCTTTCAATTCACATAATTAGTAAATACATTTTATATTTATAATTATACCATCAAATAAAAAAAACTAGTATGAATATTAATACACACCGGTATATATTTTTTATTTAAATATTTTTCAAATTTAAAAAGCAATAATTTAAACAATAATGATTCATCCCCCTTTTCCCCCACCCAATAGTAGAGGTCATCATAACTTCACCCCTTTCAATTCACATAATTAGTAAATACATTTTATATTTATAATTATACCATCAAATAAAAAAACTAGTATGAATATTAATACACACCGGTATATATTTTTTATTTAAATATTTTTCAAATTTAAAAAGCAATAATTTAAAGTGTCAACTAAAAAATAATAATGTGTCAAACACTGAAATAGCCAAATAGTAGTACTTCCCATTATTTGAAATTCCACATATAGACACCCTCCTTTATTTCCAAGGAGTTACATTGTCATTTCCCTCTAACCCTTACCAGAAAACAGTATTTACAATTTTATCAGACCATAACAAAGTCAAAATAAAAAAATAAAATAAAGAAAAACTTGTGTAACATTAAAAAACCACTCTAACCAAGCACCCTACATATATTTTTCAGCTAAAAACTTCCAACCTTTTTCATCTTCACCCATTTAGTCATTCCCATTGTCTTATTCTCACTCTAGCCCTTCTATTCCCATCATATTTCTATCAGCTTGCTTCTATATATACAACACAATACATTAGAGGAGTTGGGTAGTAGTAGTGCTAAGGTTTCCCCAAACACTGGCCTTTTCGGTAAAAAAGCACTAGTGTTCATTATGATTACTAGTTTGTAAAGGTGGGGTTTGAGAGTAATTAAGGGGAAGTTGTGGGGGGCCTTTTAGTATTCTATGATGAGTCCTCCCATAGGGGCTCTATGGGGAATACCCTTTCTTCGCTTGGCAGTTCTGTAATTAACCACAGTTGGTGGCGGCGTTGACGGAGTGAAGCTGTGGTGGTGGTGGTGGTGGTTGCTGCTGCTCTTCTGCGGCGGTCCACGGCTGCTGCTGCTGTTGCTGTATGAATTCTCCGAGTCCGACGCCGCCGCCCGGAGCTTCTTCTCCGGCGAGTACTTCCTTTTCCTCTCGAAATTCTTCGATGTGCCAACAATCTGTATTGAATAGCAATTGTAAAAGATCGATTAGAATTGACTCAAAATACCCAAAATTCAATTCCTCATAATACCAATCTAAAATCGATGATCACTGCGAATCAAACAATCATAATCATAATCATAATCATAATCATAATCAACCCAGAAAACCCAATTAAGATTCTTCGAGAAAATTCCCTGGAAAGTAGTGAATTTTCGTATTAAAGCTTACAAATTTCGATAGAAGCCAGAGGTTGAGCATTTTCTGGGTAATACCCAATTCAATTTTCGTCAACTTTTTAGTCAAAATTGTAGAAAAAGACACAGATTTAATGGATTTTGAAGGACATTTGAATGGATTTGAGAGGACATTGTTAGTACCTTGCAACCGAGAGAGCAGAAACGGAAGGAATCCAGGAGGCTGCGCTCGCAGACTTCGCAGGTGTTGGTGACTCCTTTGCCAGGCCTAGGCTGAGGCCGTTCATTCAGAAACACGACCTTTGCACTGTTGATAATGTAGGTCTGTACTGATGTGATGTCCAAATACTTCTGAATCTCAGAAACCCTGATCACATCATGGTATGATGACCTCCTTATCTGTCATATAAACAACAATCAACAACACCAGTCTAACAACTTTAAAAAAAAAAAAATAACTAAAAAAATCATACAAGTATTCATGTTTATATAGATCAACAATGTCAAATAGAGGAACACTGATTTAAGCCTATAGGATTCACCAATTAGGCCAAAAAACAAAGCCAGCCATAGAGCAAATTGGGATTTCTTGGAGGAGAAGAGAGCTATATTGAAACCAAGAAAAAGCAGATCCAATTGCTAAAAACAGATGATTTTTTTTTTTTTTTTTTGTGACGGAAAAGGCAGCAATTTTGACAAAATAGGTGAAACCCAGATGTGTGTGTGTGTGTGTGTGTGTGTGTGTGTGAGAGAGAGAGAGAGAGAGAGAGCATTTAGCAATGAGAATCAAACCTGTATGACACGGTGGTCCTTGTGGTAGGTGAGACAGAGAGAACAGAGAGCACCATTCATACAATCCAAGCAATACATATTGCACTCGCTCTTGTGTGAATCGGCGTGTGATTTGCATTGAATGAAGAAGCTCTCTCGCAGCAGAGGCTTCAACCACGGCGGCCACCGGCTCTCTTCTTCGTCAGGACCTCCAGCTCCCTACACACCATACCAAAAACAAAAAAAACAGAGTCCCAATCAGTCAAAACAGAACAAGAAGCTCAAACCCATATCATAAACGCCCAGCAAACAAAAGAAAATGCAGGAAAATGCGGGAAAATGCAGGAAAACAGTTCTTTCTTACCATGATTCGCCTGTTCTTAGGCTTGATTTCACGGACAGCGGTTTCTTGATTGTCGATCGCCAGTTTGAACAATCAGAGTGATAGTGCTTAGTTTTTTTTTTTTTCCTTCTTCCTTAGAGAGAGATAGGGTGTTTGTATGTATGTATAGAGAGAGAAAGTGAAGAGAGAGAGGGGCTTTTAGAAGAGGAGTGAGGCGGTGAGAAACAGAGGGTTATTGTAGAGATGGAGTCTATGAAGAGAGAGAAAGAGGAGAGAGAGTGGTTCTGTTCTTATCCTCACAAAGTCTACAATCCGAACCTAACTCCGAGCCCAGACCAACAGATACGTCGAATGCAAGCAACCGACCTCTTTATTTTCTTATTTTTTTGTTTCCTTTCATTTTCATTTAGTTTTTATTTAAACAAATAATGGGTCTTATCATATTATTAATTTTTTAATTTCATATATTTTAAGCTTTTATTCTCACTCATTAATAGTAAATTATTTCAATGGGTGAACATTATTCGTTGGCATATTTGGCACCATACCCTCCCCTATCTTGATAAAGGGCGTTATGGCTTTTTTTCACTTGCCTTTTTAAGTTTTCTTTTTCTATTTTTTTTTTCTTTTCTAAAACTTTGAGCAGTACCTTTTCCTAAATTCTGATTTGGCTTGGGAAATGGATCGATTTTTTTTTTTTTTAACTGTTTTAATTTGGAGTTAAAATAGTCTTGTTTGGGATATATAGACTTTTGATTTTTTTGATTTTTGTTAGAAAAAAAATATAATGATTATAATTTGAATATGATAATTTTTAACCTAGTTTAAAAAGCTTATTTTAGCTATGTTTAGGATATTACTTTAGGCTAAAATAGTCATATAGGATAAAATTAACTATTTTAGTCAAATAAAATAAAATATCACTTCTAACTTATAATTATTTTATTTTTTCTTTTATAAAAGTAAAAAAAATTAAAAAATTTATTTCAAAAGAAGTTTTTTAACCCCAAATTAAAATAATTAAAAAGTCAAAAGATTAAAAAGTCAACTCACTCTCTCAAACAATTTTTTTTCCTCTCTTATTTTTGTACATTTTTTTCATTAAATTTATCACTTTGCTTGGTTCTATTTTTTCAAAAATACTTTTCAAAAAATACTTTTTTTTTTTCATTTTTTTTTGTTTTTACTGATTTTTTAAAAAATTTTTAAATAAATTTTTTTTTTCACTTTTTAAACATACTTAACATAAATATATTTAAAAAATAAAAAAATTATAAAAAAAATCATCTAAAAATTTACTAAATATTAAAAAAAAATAAAATCCGAAAATTCAGTATATTTTTTCAATCAATTTTAGTTGATAAACAATTAACACACTCGCAATTATGACATAACACTACACCCTGCTCTTTGGCAACCCTTAAATGACGTGTTGACTCGGGCTTTATATAATGAAATTTTAAAAGTTGATTAAGGCTTGGTTTGGAGTGGGTTGTCTTTTTTACTTTTTAATTTTTTTAGTTATTTTAGTTTGGGTTAAAAAATTTAGTTTGGGAAGAATTTTTTGATTTTTTGACTTTTTTAGCTTTTTTTGTGAGAGAAGAGTGTAATTATTATGAGTTGGATGGAATGTTTTGTTTGTTGTGGTTAAAATAACTTATTTTGTTTTTTATGACTAAAATAGCCAAAAAAGTCTCAAATCTTGATTCCTAAACGGTGCCTAAAATATGAAACAATAGTTACGGGATGGTTATATATGGGGTAAATTATAAATACACTCTTTAAGATTTAATTAAAATATAAATTATTTTTTATAATTTTAAAAATTTTATTTTATTTTTTGAAATTTTTAATTTCATAACAAATCGTCTATTTTATTAATAAATCATAAAGTCAATTAATAGTTTTTAATGATATTAAAAATATGTTTCAATTAATAATTTAAGTAATTTTATTATTGTATAGGAACACAATTATGAATGAGATATTTATTAATAAATCTCCTCTTACAAACAATTACTCAAATTAGTCTCAAGTTTTTCTATTGATCTGTTAAGTTTTATTAATGTAAAGTTTCTTTTCGTGTGGTTCTATTTTTGATTTTGGTAGTATTTTGATAAACAATTATACTTTTTTATTAATGTGACAAATATAATGTGATACTCTAATGTGATAGGTATAAATGTGACACTTCAACGATGTGACACTCCAACGATGTGATAGTCCAAAAATAAATTAAAATTTTCTTAATATACTTTTCTTAAATATGACAATGTGACGAGTATGATATGATATTTCAAAACTTTTATTCCAAAAAAATACTCTTTAGTGCACTTTTTCTTAATGTGATAACGTGACGGATATGATGTGATATTTCAAAAAACAAATAAAAACTCCTTAGTATATATATATATTTTTAAACGTGACAACGTAATATGTATGATGTGACAATCTAAAAAAAAAAATTCTTAGTGTATTTTTTTTTTCCAAATGTGACATGTGACACTTTAACGTAGCGGATATGATGTGACCTCTAAAAAAATTAAAAACTCTTTAGTGCACTTTTCCTAAATATGAAATTCTAATGTGACGGGTATGATGTGATACTAAAAAATTCTTTAATGTATTTTTTTCAAATGTGACACTCTAATGTGAAGGGTAAATGAATCTTACAAATCCAAAAGGACTAAATAGATTACAATAAAAAATATTAGACTATATAAATTACAAATTCAAAATATAGGACTTATTGGTCAATCTCCCAATATGAATTTCGTTTTTTTTAGTTAATTTTGTTAAATAAAAAAATTCTGACATGAGGTATTTATAATTTTTCAAATTATATGAGGTAAATTGTACTTTAAATAAATATCAAGAAGTGTATTTATAATTTATCCTTATATATATTAGTTGATTGATTAATGAGAAATAAAATTGGTGTCATTGATTACTTTTGGACGATTTAAAACACTATACAAGGTTGTGTTATGAAGAGTGTTAAATAATTTCATACCGTATGAAAATTATTAAAAGAAATTGTAATTTGTCAAGAAAAATGAATAAAACAATCTCAACCTTAATTAATGTTGTTTGAATTCTAGCAAGACCAACTAGACAAAAAATTAAAATCACCAACCTTGCAATTATACCGGACTTTGTACTTCATCTCAAAAAGTGAAGTAAGTGTTTCCGATGTCCCAAAAGAAAAAGAAAAGGATAGAAGAAGAAAAAGAGGTGAAAAATTATATAATTTCTTGTTATACTGGGCAGAAAAAGGAAAATATTTAACAAAACTTAAATCAAATGGCATTAAGCATTTTAGTTAAGTCTTTTCGTTTTGGTTTTTTTTTCAAGTATGAAAGCATTGAATTAGTTGTAATCTTCCTTAAAGGACAAATGAGATCTATCCAAATATTAATACAAAATAGTGAAAACTAATTAGTGTGTTTGGTTTAAGTTTTTTGGATTAAATTTTTTAAAAATTGAGTTTTTTGATTTTCATATTTTTTTTATTTTTAGTGAATATTTTTTAAATTTTAAATATTTTTTTTTTTACTTTTTTAGATGCACCTTACGTAGATGTATCTAAAAAATAAAAAATTAGTGAAAAATATTTTAAAAAATTAATAAATACATAAAAATACAAAAAAATATACTGAATTCTTGTATTTATTTTTCTTATATTTTTGGTATTTAGTGAATTTTTAAAAGGTTTTTTTCACAAATTTTTTAAAAGGTTATTAAAACAAAGTAAGTAATGGAATAGATTAGAGACATTTGTTTATAAATCTCTGCTCACCTACTTATATTATATTTATGTCAAATTATTTTTTTATGTTCCAATAAATTTTATATGTGACATAATTAGTAAAATACTCCTAATAATATGGTAAAACGTGCATTAATGTTCACATTGACAATGTGAATATTTCATGATATAAATGTTCACACTAGTAACGTAAATATTCATACTGTCAATTTTTTTTAATATAAATGTTCACATCATCAAATTGTTAACGGTTCAAAAAATATTTGTAAAGGTAAAATTATCCATAAAATACCTTGAATATGATAATTAAGATTTGGGAGATCAAATATCTAAAATAATAGGATTTATTAAAATATAAGAATATTTTATAGACTTATTGGGATATAAGTACTTTAAAGAAAAAAAAATTAATAAATTTTTCAATAAATAGTTAAAATCTGGCTTTTTATTTTTTATTTTTTTGGCTTTTTTTTTTAAAAAATGTATAAAAAATGTGAGAGATGATGTGACTCAAAATAAGTTAAAAATTAAAAGATGGCTTTTAACTATCTTCCTAAAATATTCCATAATTGGGTCAAGTGTGTCAAAAACAATTAATTTGATTGGTATACAATTATAGGCTTATTATCCAAGTTATATATTGACTCTACTTAAAATTATGAATTTTATTATTTTGAATTAATTAAAATTTATATTTTGTTCACATATTTTGATACTGTGTGAACAAAATCAAACTCTCAAAATTATTTCCCACAGGTGAATTTTTTTTTGAAAATAAAATCATATTGAAGCGCAAAAAATTGAATAAAAAAAAAGAGAAAGAAATTGAAAAACCATTCGAGATAAGTTTTGATTGATGATTCATCATTTTATTAAGGAAAATGATTGGTGGCCCTAAAAAATTTGCCCCTAATGCCCCTAATTTCCATTTTTGGAAACTGTTTTCTTTTTTTCTTTCTTTTTTCCTTTTTTTTTTTTTTTTTTTACCAAAAGTGGAATTTCGGGGCATTCGAGCCCCGAAATTTAGGGCCCTCAAGCAGCGCTGTTTTATTAATCATGTTGGATTTGGATTCGGAACAGTTTTGTCCTGAAGTCTACCTAACCTCTTACAAGGTAGATAGTTGAGTGTTTTGAGAAGGAGCAATGGTAGAGGGCCCAAATTTTGTGGCTCAAATGTGGCTTAAATGGTCAAAATGACGTCGTTTTGAGTACAAAACAACATCAAAATGGCCAAAACGACGTCGTTTTGGCCATTTGAGCCACATTTGAGCCACAGAATTAGGGCCCCCAAACATTTTTCAATAAATTGGCATATGTCAATTTGACATTAAAACTCTTCACCCAATATGTTGAATCTATTATTATATTATTTTTTTAAATAAAATTATTTTATTTGGTGGACTTAACATTTGACATTTATATAGAGTATGTCAAATTTGACATATTGAGTTCTGGCCAAATGTCAACTTAACATTTGAC